CAACTATACACTGGCGAAGTTTCAGAAGCAATGAGTTCTGTACAACATTTCGTGTAACAACAAACTTCCACTATGCTAAAATGGTATAAATGAGGTTACACGGGGGATAATTAATGTGTACGCGTCGATCAAATAACAAACTTCTTTTTTTACTTTACAAACATGCCACCAAAAAGAAAGTACAAAAAAAGAAGCAGAGAAACTGAGGCTAAAGATACATGAGTAAGTGTTTTAAGAATAAGGATGGTGGTGGTGGTTATCGTCACTCGATGTCACTTGTCATTACTCTAGTTAATTAATTAAAATAGCAACTACAGTAGCTTAACATTATTTTTATTTTTTATTTACTTAATATAAATACTTCCTCCTCCTCATCATTGTCACCATTACCACAAATCATTTACAATTACGAATGGTCAAGAGAGGTAAATTTTTTGACTTGAAATTTGAAGTTATAATAACAATATATTAATTATTAAAGGCCATTGTAAAACAATCAGCAGATCGTTGTATATCCACCATCAATCAAAGAATTCTATCCTCTTCTCCTAGAATTCCATCTTGTCATGTCTCTATCATTCCACAAACCAATAAAGCTCCCATTATCAAAAGTAAACTTTACTTGCTCTTTTTATTATTTCCTCTAACTACAAAGTCGAAAAACTGACATTTTTTTCTTGTTACTGTATTTCCTGCTGAATGGAACTCTTATAAAGTGGGATATTACAAAACAAAACAGATAGATACTGTTCGTGATGTTAGAACATTAAGTGTATAAAAAAATGAAATATTTAGTATAAAACCCACTGAAACTTGCTAACCAAAATTAAGTTTTTTAATGTAATATTTAATCTATAATATATGTTGTAATATTTGCTTAATAAAAAAAATGAATTCTAGTTTTTATTAATAATAATGAAAAATATCGAGTTTCAAAAATGATTAAATAAAATACTCAAAATGTCAAACCAAGATTCAACCCAAGAACTTCTAAACTATGTTCTTAATTGTTATTTAATTTTTAACACACATTTTTATTATTATTTAAATACTTTTTTAACAAAATTTATTTATCACATAAATGCAAAAACACTTGTTTATCGTGTATAAAATATGGAAAAATAAAATTGTATTTTTAATAAAAAAAATAAAAATTGCAAATTAAATTGTTTGATTGATGATTGATGATTGATGATTAATTATATTATCGAAAAAGAAAATTTTAATATTTAATTAATTATTAAGTTTTAGCTATTCCATTTACAGCTTTACCATTACGTGCCCTTCTAGCACGAACACCTTCACGTAATAGATCCAAAACTTGAACTGTAGTTTCCCAACCAATACATGCATCTGTTATTGATTGACCATAAATAAGATTTGCATCTCCATCTGGTGGAAGGTCTTGACGTCCTAAATTATTATTATTATCATTATTGTAAGCCATCATGTTATTGGATTATTATAATAATCATCATAAAATAAATAAAAATAAAAATATTTAACAGCTACCTTCTACCAAGTTACTTTCAATCATTACACCCATTATATTGAATCCTGTATGTGAATTTTTAAGTTGCTCGACCTACAAAAATTAATCAATAAATTCATTAATTAATTAATTAATTCACAATGACAAGAGAATATTCATTAATACTCACAATGTCTTTAGCTACATCTACTTGTTTGCCGAACACCTTTTGACTATTGCCATGACTGCAGTCGATCATTACACGTGCAGCAAGTTTTGCAGCTTCTAATTTAGATACAACATTTTTTATATTCTCGGATGAATAATTAGGTCCAAGTGCACCACCTCTTAAAATTACATGACAACAATCATTTCCCTAATTTATTAGATTTATTTGGTTATTTAATGAATAGTTATATTTTGTCAATATTTTTATTTTTTATTGTAGAACTTACCTCTGTTGCCACTATTGCGCTTATTCCCTGTTTTGTGACTGATAAGAAATTATGTTTAGCGCTAGCAGCTTTGATAGCATCAACAGCTACAACTATATTTCCATCAGTGCCTATATATATTTTTCAAAAGAATCAATATTTATTATTAATACACTCATACACACATGCACACTCTCTTTCCACCACACTTGTATTTACCATTTTTGAAACCAACAGGTACAGATAAACCTGAAGCTAATTCGCGATGCACTTGTGATTCGGTGGTTCTTGCACCAATAGCACCCCAGGAAACTAGATCTGCAATGTATTGTGGTGTGATTGTATCAAGAAATTCACATCCGCATGGAACTCCCAATTGATTCTATTTAAATGTTAAATTGATTTTTTTTTTAAAAATAAAATAAATAATGGTTTTTCCCAAAAAGGGTTGTATTTACTTACTATATCTAATAATAAATTTCGTGCAACTCGTAAACCTTTATTTATTTGAAAACTTGGAAAAGAAAAGAACAATCTCTATCAATCTCACAATCTCACCCATACATATGTGTATATAATATACAAAAATATAATATGTACCTGTTGTTTAATTCAGGATCATTGATCAGTCCTTTCCATCCCACTGTGGTTCTTGGTTTTTCGAAATAAACTCGCATGATAATAGCTAATTCACTACTTGCACTAACTGAATATTCCTTTAATCTTTCAGCTAAATTTATGATTATGATAATGATGATAAATGAATAAATATTTATTTATATATTACATGAAAAAAAATTATTCCCATCCAATCATTTATATTTACCGTATTCAAGAGCAGCAGGAACATCATGAACTGAACAAGGACCAACTATCACAAGAAGTCGGTCATCTTGACCTTTTATGATGCTTTCAGCAGCAGAACGACCAACTATGACGCTTTGTGCTGCTTGGAAGGTAAGTGGAAAGTCTTCCATTAAAATTTGAGGTTGAATTAATGGCTTTATGTGTTTGATGCGTTTATCATCGAGCTCATTTAGTGCTGATGGATTCATTATTTAGAATGATGTTATGTTATCGTAGTAATAATGTAAAATCGATCATTTTTATTATAAAGACAAATACCATCACGAATGTCAAGTCTTTTTCCCATTTTTTTTATTAATTTTATATAGTTGTTTTTTATTTTTTTTATAAAAATTGTGAAAAATATTTTTTTTAAAAAATTAAAAAATTAAACAATTTAAATAAATATACGTAATAATCTGTTTTAAAAATTGATTGATGATGGATGTGTTTACATAAAAAACTAAGCCATCTTTTACTAGCTTTGATATTTTTAAGATACAAATAAGTAAAACAATTAGAAGTTGCATCAATATACACATTGTTTTTTAAAAAAATGGTGTCGATGTATGTATTTTTCAATTAACTCAAATGATAAAAGTTTACGAACTTGGGTAACTTGATAATAATAATGTATACCAAGTCAAGAAATTTCTTACTACATAAAAATATTGTGCTACGTGTAGCGTTTGAAATAAGTGTAGTATAAAATTTCCAATCAAAGATTTATTTTTTACAAATCTAACTTTTAAAAAATAAATGCAGGGTGGCTTTATTAGTCAAATCAAATCAAATCTTAATCTAATCAGATTTTATTTCCTCCACATGATATTTATCCAAAATTGAAGATCTTCACAATGCATTAAAATCAAGCGATTTTTGTTTACAGATTTGTTTTCGTGGATATATATAATATATACAAAAAAAATGTCGGTATTAGAATCTATGGTAGAAGCGATTAATGAACAGAATGTAGCGATAAAAAATTTCGAGTCAGAATATGAGGATTATAAAAATAAATTAAAAACTCTTCAAGATTATAAAAATAAGTTAATAAATAAAAAACTTGGATTAAAACAGGTGCGTGCATATATCATTTATTCTAAACGCGTATACATACATGTAAATATATATGATTAATTATAAATTATTGTGAATCAAGGATATAATTCAAGCTAATAAACTTATTGAAGATGCAAAAAATTATTATACCGAGGATGATTTGAATCGTTTTTCTAGTATGTAAAAGGATTTTTTCTTATAAATGACTTTTATCTAATTAGTTATTCAAGTGATTGATACCCAATTAATTAATTTACTATTAGAGATACATGATTCTCTTTTACATACTCATCAATGGCAACCTGTTGAATTAAAGAAAGATCTTGTTATTATGAATTGCAAGAATTTGGAAGTGAAATTGAACTTTGACATAAATGAGAACAAAATATTATCTCTGGAATTATCAAATTTAATTAGTAATGATATGAACAATGAAGAGAAGAAATATTGTAATCTGTTAATATTAGGATTACAAAAGATGATATCAAGGAATATAGCAAAATCTTCACAACAAATCAATGAGGTGTCAAGGATCTTGCAAGAAATTAAAACTTATTGGAATAATGTGTACCAAATTTATAAAGAAATATTTATCTTAAGGCTAAAATTTCCAACTGAAATACTTGTAATTTCTAATAGAGATGATAATAACAATGGGGACAGAGATGAAAGTAATAATAACATTAATAAGAATAATGATGATAATGATAGTGACAATGAACCTACATTATGTTTGCAAGTACTTTTTTTTAATTATAAAAAAAAAACAAAATTTTATATAAATTATTATTTGTGTACAGATGATGTGATGAATTATCCACTATGGGAAAATATAAAATATAATGTTGAGCTTTGCTATGGAGGTGTAAAGTAAGTGAAAAATCAAATTTATTAATTTATTTTTGGTGAAATTAAATTAATATGATTATATGATTAATATATACAGTGAAGTCATGATACTTGATATAATCAAATCACAATTTTCAATGAATAAAATTGGATGTATCAAAGAAGCATGCATTAAAATTGAAAATTTTATTAAATCTGATACCTATGATGAATGAATTTATTACTCATAATTAGATTGAGAGGAGGAAGGATAAATAAAAATATTTTAGATAACTTTTTTTTTTTTTGTAAATAGACTAAATAATGATATTATCATTATTATTTAATTTTGAATACACCTATTTTAATATCTTTGAAAATATTTCAATCAAACAAAATACAGAATTACATTCTGTATTTTCTTTTCAGTAAAACTTATATAATAATAACATTATGGGGTGTGCTGTAACAAAACTAAAGTAGGTTTTCTTTTTTTAAGCCAAAATCTGTTTTATCCAAGTCTGAAACTTTTGGTTACCTGGTTGTTTCTTCAGGTAATGGTGGCTAATCAAATAATTTGTCAAAGGCAACATTCATGTTCTTTGAGTGAGTAGAGTAATTTATTAATATATAATAATAAAGAAAAAAAATTAGCCGAATTTTTTAATTAATATTAAGAGATAATAAAATATAATAAATAAAAATACGAATATTAAAGTGAAAGCGGTTAGGTCACATGTCCAACATATATTTGAATCCATGACTTTAGACACAAAATTGCTCTAGCTGTCTGTGGTTCCAATCTGTTCCTTGTGATAAGATTGTTTGTCCTGCAATAGAAAAAACTTGTTCCGAAGCAACATCTGTTGCTTGAGAAGATAGATAGTCATACTCCAAAATTGGATATTCGGATTTTTGGTATTCCATCATGAAATAGGATCAATATTATTTTCTGTTGATTCGCTCAAATATTTAGTTAATTCGCACAATATTAAAGAACATGTATCGGTTGTTAAATTATTAATAAAAGTAGCCGAGTTGTAATTTGTATTTCAGTTGTGGTAGTGTAAATTTCTTTAACCTAAATTTTTATAAAGTACCCTGCAACACAGTAAGGATACCTCCTCAACATAGAAATCTGTTACACGGCCAACTTTATTTTTTCTAAATTCATAGGTTCTGTGTCAACCCGAATTAGGTAAATCCTAGTACTAAGTAACCTTATTTGTGATCCTATTTATCATGAATTCAAAGTACCTAATTTTTTTTTTAAAAATTGATATAATTTTGTAGATGTACACTAACATAGCGTTTATATTAGAAATCCATGCCTGATTTAGAAACAGAATTGTTAATTAGTCCTAAAGAAGAATTCGAAAGTAAAGTTTCTAATCCTATGATAGAGGAAGGAACAGACAATCATGATAAATTAAAGGTTGCAATTGATTTAATGGGTGATCACGCTGTTACTGGTGAACTTTTAAAACCGTTTGACAGCTTAATAAATGCTGTTATGGAATTAATAAGAAAGAACTATGGTTCATTTGAAGATGCACAATATAACAAAAACTTTTGTAACTGTTTACTTGATCGAATCGAATTCATTGAACAACCTATGAAAAACTTGAGAGCACATAAAAATTTAATGATTCTACTTTTGATAGATCAAAATTATTACGATACTTTATTGTGTCTAATTGCAATTTTGAAAGAATCACAAAGATTAATCAACGAGATATCGTTTCTTTGGAATTTACGTAAATTTAGAGCCACTAATGATATTAAAATTCATTTTGAAAGAGTTACAGAAGAGTTTGATAAGGTTTTATCAAAGTTAAATTTGGAGAAACCTTTTGATTACGAAGCACAAAAAAAGAAAGATCTAAAGGCTATAGAATATGACATTTCAACAATGAATAAGGTAAATAAATACTCTTTTTAATTTTTTTTTATTATAAAAAAGATTTTTTAATGGTTTTTTTTTTTCCAATTATTAGTTTCTTGAGAGTGTTGAAGGATCTTCGATAACATTACCGAATTCAAATATGGAAATTAATCCAATTTTTGAAACAGTTACATTGATCAAAGCACGTTTAACTGAAGTTAACCCAAATGAAATTACAATTAAACGGATTCCACCCAATGAATTAATAAGGGTATACTATCATTTATGTCGAAAAAATGATCAACCTGGCGGTGGTGGTAATGTTAAAGTTAAAAGATGGTTGTGTGGTGAAAAGGGAAGTTTAGTTGCGTGTAAAAAATATGGAGAACAATCACAAAAATTTCAAAATAATCTTATTCTTCTTGACAAGCTCAACATCTGTCAAAACATTTTGAAGTTCTATGGACTTTCAATCATTGATTGGGATCATAGCTCACAAAATGTTCTAGTTTATGAATGGGCAGAAAGAGGAAATTTAAAAGTGTTATATGAAAAATTTGATATGAGCTGGCCTCTTAAATTAAAAATAGCAGTTGGTATATCTCGTGGACTTTTATTTTTGCATGGATGTGATATTATGCACTACGATTTAAGATGTGAAAATATCATGGAAAGTATTTATTTATTTATATGTAATTATTTCTAATAATTATTAATTTTAATAAACAAAATAAATAAATTGATTAATAATAATAATAATAATAATAATAATAATAATAATAATAATAATAATAATAATAAATATAACAGATTAATGAAAATTTTGAACCTAAAATCACAAATTTTCGGTGTGTTCGTCCCTCACAACATAATCCAACTTTTGAACATTATTTTGATCCCATTGAACATTGGATAGCTCCAGAACGATTGAAGAACGGAAAAAGATCGCATTACACATGCAAATGTGATATATTTAGGTAATGTTTGCAAATACATGTGTGTGTATATATATATTATTATTTAATTTTATTTTATTTTATTATTTATTTTTATAGTTTTGGAATGTTATTATGGGAACTTGCTTTTAACCGAATTCCATATAGAGGTTGGAATCTTTTACAAATATCTAAACATGTATTGGCAGGTTTTAGAGAAGTAATAGATTTTGGAAATGATCATAATATAATAGAACAATCATATTCTGGTATAATTAGAGCTGGTAAACATTAAAAAAAAATTTATTTGTCTATTATGTATATAGGTGATATGCACTAATGTTTTTCTTTTATTCCATCCCTCAAAAAAAAAAAAAAAAAAAAACTATAAAGCTTGGCAAAATGATCCATTATTACGACCATATCTTTATTTAATATTCTTAAAACTTGATGAATTATCTAAAGATAATCCAATTGAGGAAGGATCATCATTATCAGCTATGTTAAGGTTTCAAAAATATGATGATAGTGACGAAGTGGTTGAAATAATTTATGATGATAATGAGGTGGAAACCAAAAACGAAGAAGAAATACTGCCAGTTAATAAAGATTCAAATCTTGATATTGTTCCTGTTGTAAGGTCAATACTGAGTTTTGACGAAGGAATTAAGGCTCACGAAAATGGTGATTTCATAAAAGCATGGAAATGTTTTAATTCTCATCATATGATAGATAATCTAGAAGCAACATATTGGGTAGGTCATTATTTATACGAAGGTTACCTTGGCGAAAAAAAAATTGATGAAGCAATCAGTCTTTATAAATTGGCAGCAGATCGAGGTGTTCCAAAAGCACAATATTCATATGCAAAATCTTTAATTGAAAACGATTTTGATGCTGACGATGATAGTAATTCATTAAAGTGTAAAGAAATTTTGGAATATTTAGAATTGGCTGCGCATGGTGGTATACCCTCTGCTATTTATATGCTGGGCGATATTTTTTTAAATGGAAAATATAATGTTGAAAAAGATGAAAATCTTGCTGTTCAATATTTAAAAATGGCTGCTTTGAAAAATAATCAAGACGCTACTGATTTATTAAAACAATTAAAAATCAAATTATTTTAAATATTTTTTATAGATATATATATATATCTATACTTGATGCTTATGTAAATATTATTTATTATAAAAAGTATTTATTTGGCACTTAATTTTGTATTACAATTATAAATTATCAATTATTTATTTTATTAATTTTATTAATATTTATACACATTTTCTTGTACAATTAAATATATAATTCTTCTTTCTGCTGGATATCTCAAATCTTACATTAGTTTACCAGTTAATCAAAAAATTAGTGCTTTGATACCCATGGTAATTGCAGATTTGATCATAATAATATTTCCTTCAGGGAAATAAGATAAGATTTTTTGCTTCTTTTACTACATGCTTTTCAAGGAATCTCTCAGAGTAAATAGTGCCAGGGTCATGATGATATAATGGTGGTATCTAAGAGGATTATCTATCTTTTCAAGGAAAGTTCAGCAACTTGTTTCTCGGGTCCAACACGAGGCCGTTTTTTAACATGTGTTTCAAGATAAGCTCCTGTCGACATGGTTTTTCTGCTTCATAGATAATTTGATGTTTTAATCTTCTCCAGCACTCTTTTGGAGGTTTTTTATCAACTTCAGCAAGATAGAAGGTTGCTCTTTTGTATGAAGTGAAATTAGTTTGAATATAATAAGATTCATAATTTAATGTTAATTTTCCCTCCTCAAGAATTTTGTCAACATGTTTCAATAAATCTTTGAAAGTTTATCGTATACAAGTTGCATTCTCTATTACGAGTCTTACATTCACCCATGTATTTTGTTTGATCATCAAGCCTTTTTTTTACTTTACTTCTTCATAACTAACAACAGGCTCCATTTTAAGTCCAACATTAGCTCTAACAGTATTTTCTCTGAAATTTTTAAATAAATAAATGTAGATAAAATGAATAAATCTGATTATTTAATCAAAGAATTAAATTAAACGTTATATAATTAATTACTTGAATGATTCTTGTACCTGTGCAGTATTTTGCATAAAACTGCCAATATATTTGAGTCGATGTAATCCTATCACAAGACCAGCAGGATAGAGGTGAAGCAAGGAAAATCGAATATATTGCAACTCATTCCAGGTTTGAGTTGTAATCCTTCGAAATAATTTAATCTTGATTTTTTTCGAGTTGATCGTCAAAGGCTTGTCACACAACGTGTTAGTATATAATACTTTCTGGTCACGAGATTGGGAAATAAATTTAATGATCGACAAACAAAGCTTAGTTGAATTTTTTTTAACAATCTAAATTCGTAAATAACTTTTGATTCGAATGAGTTTCTTCTTTGCAAAGAATCTTTTATTAAATTTATTAAATTCGTGAAACAATTTCCTTTTGCGTGTGTGATTTTTTTAAATACAAATAAATAAATAAATTTTTGCTCAATGCAACTAATGAAACAAAAAATATTGATATAATAATAATATGACCGGCTATGTTGATGCTCCGAATGAATATATAGATACCTCGAGTAACGTGTAAATCCAAATAATACATAGGATGCCATTTCAGCACTATGTATTTCGACCCTCGAATTCGAGTGCAATGTTTTTTTGGTCCAAGAGTGAGGGTAGCGGGTCTATTTATATGTTTTTATTGTAATTTATTAGACTACTCGATCAATGCACCATCTGGCGGCCATGAAATAGTCCATTTTTATTAAATATTGCATCATTGATCATGAATACATGATGGGATGCTGAGATTCTTCGCATCCAGTGCTAATTTTGATACTCCGAACGAATATATATGTATATGATTGAGTTATGTGATTTTATAATATTATGACACCAGGATATCATTGCGCTGTAATCCTAACCTGCATTTCACGAAACTTTCTGTTATGATTTCGTTTAAAAATTTGTTTATTTTATAAATATTTTAATAGTAGTAATAGTGATAGATCCGTTGAAATGAGGTCATTTTCTTTGTCAACAATATCGTCTGGGACATTATTGTCGACATTATCTTCAGCATTTATCTATATCATCTTCAACATCAGTTATGACATCCATGTTACTATAATTTTGAGATGAATAAGGAGTGCTATGATTATACATTCGTGTGGTGTTATTCGATATTAAATTACTATTGGTTGTAACTTTGTACTATTAAAAAAATTCCTTAAAAAAAACATTAGTTACAACATATGCAATGTTGTCTGCCACTTTAGATGACCCGTACATTCCCAGACGAAAATATAAATTTTGCTTATAAATAATACGAGGGTAACTTTTTAGTCAACTTCTATTATTTTACGTTTATGGCCGAATTTCGAGTTAGTCTTTTTAGCTACACTCGTCGATTAATTAATTTATTTTACGAAATTATCCTGCTTATTGCCTCTTTCTTGCTCCTGGAAAGCTTTGGAGAATCTGTAAGCACACTTTATGGTACAATTAACAACGAATTACAATAAATAAAGACGTTCCTCAACAAATGCTCCGGAGTTCCGTTTTTATTTACTTTTTCTTTGGCCAATTGAAATCAGCAGTACGTTTGCAACAATTACTTTAACACAATAATCAATATGTGGTAATGACTTTGGTCAATAACTTGTTGACCCTTTGTATAGGTGGTCGGTCAGAAATAATTGTTGACACTTAATACTTTTGCCAATAAGTTTTAAAGTTTTAACAAACAAAAACCAAAAATTAAACCAAACAAATAACCAAAGCCATTGCTTTCTACCAAAGCAAATAACCAAAACCTCAACGGGATAATTAAACCCTACTGTTTAATTTCCGACCACAAAAGTGTTTTATCAAATTAATTCGTTTTATTAAATTGTGAAAATGCTTATTTGTAAAAAAATAATTTTATATTAACTTTCACCCTTTCTACTCTCAAGCAAGGTTCTGAATTATTAATAATTTCGCTTTGCCATTATTATAATAATTTTCTCAATCTTGGGACATTTCTTTAGATGCTGAATTATTCGATATTTTTTTTTGTTTGGAAACCATTTTTCTTTGCCTCCTCCTCTCCTAATTTTTCAACACGTGCTTTACAAAAAGTTTTTGAATTGCACGATTTAATTTAATATTGATTCTAATAATATGGTGATGTTGTATGTGAAATTGAAATTATGTGAAATTGAAATATTGTGGAGTGGGTGAAATTCTGATTGGCTAATTTGAATTTCACGCATGTAAATTTGAATTTCACATATGTGAATTGTGAATTCACATAATTTCATTTTCACGTACAACAGTGACAAAGGCATTTACTCACGTTAACTTGTGGCTTGTACTACTATTGGTAGACCCGGACGTCCGGGACATATCCGCGTCCTCTCAACGTTAGGCGGAAATGTCCCGTGTACAACACCGAGCATATTAATATTAATATTAATATGTATGTCCAATCGCCCTCTGCCGAGAATATATTATATTAGACATAACAAATACACATAAATCCTTGAACGCTCTTTACACATTAAAATAAATATGAATTATATGATCCAATTATCCTCTACCAAGAAGCATGTATCATATAAAAAATTCAAAGACTTGGTTATATTTATACTGAGTAACTAAATGATCATCATTGAAAATTTTCCCTTCGATAATTAAAAGATAGAGTACGTTTGTTCACACCTTTTGCAATAAAACATCATTAATGGTTCTTTGTTCATCTCCTACAAAGGACAAGTTTTCTGTAGCCGTTAAAAAGATATAAAAGGAATACAAGTCGTTTTTAAAGAAGGCACCAGTTTTCCATCAAAATGTCTTTTAAAATTACAAATACGCGTTACATTCTAAACAAGCCCTAATTGGGAATGCCCAATTTGGGAAATTTCATTATAAAAATATCGGACCAAAAAAATTTTCTTAAAATTTTATACGTGTAACAGTGTGTGCCATAATTAAATAATGCTGCTTGTTCAGAAATATTATATCTTGTTGCAAGTTGTACAAAGTTCATTTCTTTTGTCCACAAATTTTTTCTTTATTTAGAATATAGAGTTTATTTTACCAAATTAAGTAACAGATGATTGATTTTTACTTAAGTTGGTAAGATTACATTACTATAATCAGTCTAAATCACAGTATTAATACAGTCTCCTCATTTATAACTAAAAAGTGAATTTTATTTAATTTGTGGATCTCAAAATTTTTTAAATATTGTTCTTGTAATTACTCCATTGTAACCGTATCAAGACCACTACACTTGTGTATCGAGTTCACTGTGTACAATATATTTATCAATTATGTAATATAAATAAATAAACATTGTTACGGTGCGGGTCACTCCAACAATCAAATGCCTTTCGAATTTGGGAAATTTTTATATGTAACATATAAAAACATACGATTTTTAAAGCAAATAACCCTGAAATCAGTAAATTTTTTTAAATTACCTCGACCGATGAATTGTAGAACTAGTCAATCAATTTGCACCTAATAGTAAAACTCTAATTGATAATTATATTTCTTTAATAGAGTGAAAGTTACTATTTAATTTCCTTCGCTTCTAGTAAAAGTCCAAGAAAACTAATACCACCAGATGTTAAAGGTAGAAACTACTTTTTCTTCTTCTTATTTTACGTACAACTATCGAAGATGCCCTAGACAATCTGGAAATACCAAAAAACGATCCATTTGATTATCGGGAATTTATTTACAGGTAGTGGATATTACTTCAAGGCTCGAACATTTTAAACCATTACAATTATTCTTATATTCCCAGCATTACATAAGTTCATTACGCTTCAAGGATATGATGTCGCAATTAAAATTTCGCATGGCCTAGAATTTATTAATTGCATTGTTGTCAAGAGACTGTTAAATCCTCTCGCTTGTCTGAAGCCTACTAACTTGTAGATCTCCTCGCCCGTAGAAAAAATTCTATAGTTATGTTGTACGTGAAAATGAAATTATGTGAATTCGCAATTCACATATGTGAAATTCAAATTTACATGTGTGAAATTCAAATTAGCCAATCAGAATTTCACCCCACTCCATAATATTTCAATTTCACATACAACAGTTATAAAGTGTGAAGAACACTAATTGCATGTTTGTAGAAGGAAAATTTTATTAAATCACCAATATCGGGTTTACTTTTTTGAAAATGATTTTTTAAAAGGCTCTATAGCTTGTGATTAATTGTATACAATTGGAAGGAAAAATAAATTTCGGAAATTATTTATTATTTATTTATTATTTATTTATTTATTTATTTATTTATTTATTTATTTATTATTTATTTATCATTTAATGGTATTATTATTACTTGGGTAATACAATTTATTTGTTATTATGAACATTGAAATTGACAATGGTGATTCATCTAATAAAAATTTACCAGAGCAGTTGCACATGAAGAAAATATTTGAATCTGAGTGTTACCTATCCTTTGGTCATTCTGGCGCAAATTTATTATTTTTTGCCAATAATATAATTATTAGTTACTATTAATATCATTATTTTCCCCTTCCTTTTATGTTAATCTGTTTCTGATTTGCTTCTATGATTCTTTTTCTAGGATCGGTACAAGATTTTTATGGTAAAATCAACAATTCCTGAAATACATAGAGAAGTAAGTTGCCATTTTATTAAATGAAAACTCGGGCTCTTTATTTGTTTGTTCTTTATTCTTTTATAGAAATGGTTCTTTGTAGGTTGTCACGATGAAGCAAATAGTCAATCAATAATCTATAAAAGAATCCATCTGCAAAGGCATGCATTTTATTTCAAATTTATCCATCCTCCCTGTAGCAACACGCTCCATATAAGGGTAGCATTATGTAAACAGGCCCGATATGTATATATACGTCACGATTTCCAATTTTTGTGACAAACAAAAGTAAGTTACACGTTAGTTATTGTTAGTTATTCTGTCATTTATTAGTTTTGTCAACATTGATAAATTTCTCATTCTCGTGCATTTATTTACTCACCAATAAACTCTCTCTTTTATTGATACAAAAATATCTTTTTGAAACATCATGTATGAAACATTCATAGATACCAACTTTAATTCTTTCATTTAAACTTGGTTTCATTAATTTCCAAAAAAAAATGATTGTTTCACACATTTATTTTATTATATATACGTTTTATTTATTCTTTCCAATCAAACTAATTAATAAAAATCAAAACCAAAATCAAAAATAATAAATAAATGTTTAACACAAAAAATTCGTTGCTAAGAAAGCAAACGAGAAAATTCTCATCCAAAAGAGGAAACAGTTTAAGAAGAACTTTAACTCCTATCACAAAAAATCAATATAAGAGGGACCTAGCTCAAACTGTGACTTTAGAAGAAGTTCACCTAATTGTTAAAAGATGTGCAGATAAAATACGTGAAAGAGGTTAGTTAAGTTCTTTATTTTTATCCATTTATGTTTGATCAACAATTAATCAATTATTTATACAAACGACAACTTTTTACATAAAGGTTTACATGTTGTGGATATATTTAAGCCGATGCGCATTGGCGATAACGTTGATGATGTCAGAAAACTTATCAGTTGTTTATTACGCGAAACACGTGCACAATGTGACAAAGAACTTGAAAAGTTGGATATTCATATTATAGTCTCTGCTATGAAATGGGCTTTAAGACATTGTGTTACAACTATTGTCCCATATCAATTCTACGAAGAATTTGTAATATTTGAACAAGGTAATAATAATAATAATAAATAATACATACATGAAGGTTATATAAACTGTAAAATATTAAATATTAACAAAATTAATGATTTTCTTTTTTAATTATAGAATCTGATTTTGATCCAGATAAAGGTTCATTCAAACAATTTCTATGCTATCTACCAAAACAAAACAGAGATATACTTGTTGAATTGTTTGATATTTGTGCACAGGTAACTGCTGAATCACACATAAACAATATGCCAGCTGAACGCTTAGTTAAGACATTGGCCCTTTGTATTCTGGGTGATAAAGATAAACCACTTGAAGGTTTTGAAGGAGCCTATAACGAATGGTCAAAATGCTCTCAAGCTTGTCTACACTTATTCCTGGCTTATCTTCGTGAGAAAGCTGTCTCTACTGAATTAAACCCACGTCTCACTGTCTTGATAGACAATTATGTTGAATATAGAAAAAAATCTGTTACATCCGTGTACTTTAAAGCTTCTAATAGTAATGATAAAGATGATGGCAATGATGATAACAATATACAACAACCAGAAACTTCGAACAATAAACCTAAAATATTTAATAGGCCCAGAAACAGATCCATAGTTACTTTTGCTGAAAAAACTACTGAATTCAAAACGTCAGAGGAATTTTCACTTTCATTAATGAATAATAATAATAACAACAACAACAACAATGATGATGATGATAATAATAATAATAATAATAATAATAATAATAATAATAATAATAATAATAATAATAATAATAA